GGCCCAATCATTCGGAGGCAGATTCATCTATTCCATTTGAAACCTCGACACGAATTCCCTAAGCATCTCGTTATCTCTTTGCTTTACTTTGAAAAGGTCTGACTTTCTGGTCTCGGCCTTAATGGCCCCCGCGTGCACTTTTACAAGGGCATCTGCAAGCATATCAAACGAGTCAATAGAATTAAGGGGTAAGTTGTGGTACCGTATCATATCTCCCTTCGACAAGGATTCTCCGAACTTTTTCAGCAGAACGGATTCGATTTCGTCATCTTCCAAGTCATTCCCCTTGATGGCATATGTGTAGGAGGTCACATGTTCTTTGGATCAGTTGTCCCATTATACTTCGGAATTTTGGGCATACGGAACTTCTTTGGGATCGTCTTCGGAGATGTGCTTGGAGGGAAAAGATTTTGGACAAATTTCTTGGAATCCAGGCCCTTCAGTATCGGTGGTGCTTCTGTGATTTGATCAACCTTGAGTTATAGGCCTCCATTTTTTTGTCGTTGGCTTCGATTTTCTTTTCTCCCGATTCCACCCGTTTTGTCAATTCCTCGAGCATCTTTATTATCTCGGGGTTGGTCCCGGGTTCAGCTTCAATCGTCCTTTCTTTGGCCGGTTCATTTCTGCGATTATTTTTCCGGGACGGTTCGGGCTCAACTCTGTTGGGAGCGCGGCTTTGGTTCTGCAACTGGGCTATTGCTGTATGTTGAGCCTGTAACATTTTGAAGATCACCCGCAAGTTGGTCCCATCACCTTCGCCGTCATGTGTACTCTGGGCTATCGATCGGGCTCCCCCACAGATGCTGTTTTCGGGGTTAGTAGGCAAGTTTGCTTCGACAGCCACGTGTGAGTTAGTATCGATCGGATCCGGGCATGGGACTTCATTGGGGTCAATAGGGGGCACCTCGTTGCTGGGCACCACGTTGTTGTTCTTGCCGTGGTGGCCAGACTCAACATCAACGTTCAAATGGGTGGATTGGGAGTTTGACATTTTTAATTTGACCAGAAATTAAAAGCTCAAAGAACAAGTGTAAAATAGAGTGTGTTATGAAAATTTGTATCAAATTGCCACTATTATCCTTTGCCTCACAGTGGGCGGCAAACTATTTACCCTAAAAACGGATAACAATTGAATTTATATGTGGTTTTAAGGATATGCGGATTAATTCAATATAAATGATAGATAACGTTAGATTAAATAAACAAAGGATGTAATAAATTGTCAAATCAATTAAGGGGAGTGATCCCGGATTCAGTAACAGCTTAATAAAATGCCTGCCTTCGATCACGGGCTCACAATAATGGAGAACTAATGAACAAAAGTAAGAATCTTTGAATAACAGAGAAAATAAGACTATATTGCCTTGATATGCGTCTTATAATGTGTCCATGAATAATCATCTTTCCCGGAGTTTTACCCTAAGTACAATTCTAAAAAAGATAAAAATCTTCCGTTACGCCGATCACTGATAGGAGCCGAGATTCGCGCTGTGATATTCGGTTGGGTATGGATATCACGGCCCTTTGTTAGTCGTGTGTAGCTGCTCGTGATGCTCTCCGAAGTCTCAACCCTTAATACGGACCTCAAGGACATGGCCCCGATATCCCCCGAGGGCAGGTGTTTGCCTGATCTTGATACGAGGGATTCTTTGTTCTGACCCTGATACGTTACAGTCATCTTCTCGCTCCGCTCGGCTCACCGGAAAATCGAGTCATGCGACGGGCTCGGTTTTACCCGTATACATATGTATAAGAAACTAGTAGGATATAGCAAATCCATACCATGAATATATTACCTATGTTTGTAGATTTATGCAGTTCTTGAAAATGCTTAACCCTCACGTAGTGAACTCCTCTTGTAACTTCCATTTTTGAGGGATTTTGTCATAATCTGTTTGACAATTTTGGGCCGGAGAGAATAATAGTTATTTAGACGGGCCGCTGAGTTCAAATTGATTTTGACAACGCTTTTTTTGAACCGATAATCTATCGGAAATAATTTCTATCTCTCACAAGGTAAAGGTAAGGTCTGAGTACACCCTACCCTTCCCGACCCCACTTGAGGATTACACTAGATATGTTATTGTTGTTGTTGTAGAGAAGAATTGCTTCTAACATTTGAACTACGCAAAAATATTATAATTTCCTAAAATTACTTTTTTCTTTTATATTACATTACAAAAACAATCGAGTGAAAGTCTTTGGTTAGAACCCTCACCTCTCACCATGTAGGTGGACTAAACAAAATATTTCAGAAAGAAAGTGTTCGGCCCATTGTAATGGTGGGCTTCAAATTGACTTGTACATGGCCCAATGGTGACATATAGCCTTTTAATAATTGGGCTTCAATAAAATATGATTTCCTAAAGGTCAAGAGAATGAAGTAGAAATGACACCAGATAGTCACTTTAAAGGGCCGATATTAAAAATTAGCCAGTGTATCCTGAATTTCAGTTTTTCAATTCAAAATTTCGGGACAAAAATGTCCTGAATTGTCCCGAAGTTAAGTTTCTTAATTTAAAATTTCAGGACAAAATAAGTATAGAATAATTTCTAAATAGCATCCCTGAGAATGGCTATCTATGCACTTGACCTAACTAGTGTCCACCAATCGCTTAAATTAAAAATAGTCCGCATATATTAAATTATATATTATTCATATATAATATAAGTATATTCATGTATAATTAGTCTGTAATCTATGTATATCAGCTAAAAAAGAAAATAGTGAATCCGACTGACTATTTATGTAAAGATCCCATAATAATATGGGTAAGCAGCGCACTAATAGACCAAATTCTAAGAAAATAAAAATAATCTAGACAAATTCTTCAATTAAATGCCCCTAAACATGTGGCAAGAGGTGAAAATTTACCCGCACAAAGTGTTTACTTTGCTCTAAAGTGTAATAGCAAAAAGTTTATCCAAATTTATTTGCTCTTATTTATGTACGTTCTACTAAAACCTTACATAGGACATGTACATCAATGTATTTTCATGCTAGCGTTTCAATAGTATCATTAATGGTTCGAACCCATAAAATTTAAATCATCGATCGACTAAGAGTTAGGGCGAGGCGGAGCTAGGGAGTGGAAGGGGGTTCTGGACCTCCTAATTATACTGTCAAGATAAGGTTAATTTTATATATA